AGGACATTTTGTCATCACAAGCACCATCCCATCACCTGAGCTGTTCCTCCTTCAAATGTGCTCATCATAATTTACATAGAGGAAGTATATCGTATAACGGAGTGAAAGGGCCCAGTAAATGTGCGCTAGTAAAGAGTAAGGGTAATTATACTCACAGGCAATAACCCCTAACCCACAAGCGGTGGATTTGGCCACTGTGCCAGGACACTTGTTTGACAAACACACAGGGGATGCACCTGCCAAGTAACCAGCTATCAGTCAAGTCTTGCCGACAATCTCTCAGCGGCTCCTGTCAACACCATCACATTATTCCAGCACGGTCTCAGCAAGGGCAATGGAGAGGAAGGCTTGGCTGCTTTGCACAGGGGTTGGCCTTTCTCTTGGCTCACCAGTCTGGCAAGGAGAGGCTATCCTGGAAACAAGATAAGTCTAATAGGAGTATGTGACACGGGACTGTTAACGTGAACCTATTATTACCAACTCCAAGCAGGATGGATTCATTATGTGCTGCAGTATCGGGCAGTAAAAAGCACATTACTTCAACGCAAGTTAGCAGACAAACCCTGGTGCCATTCATTTTAAATGGCACCCTAACATAGTAGAAGGGAACACAGCCGCATTGCAGTGTACCACATGGGGTGCTGCATTAAGAAAAAAAAAAAGAAGTGCCATGTCTGATTTATGATGCATTAAGCTGCCAATACATTCATAATAAATTTGCACAGTAATGCTTAGGAGTCTACTTATAACCAATTCGCAGAGCCATTCCCTCTACAAATCTTTTTGAAGATTCTTTCTGTGTAAATAAAACTAAAACAAACGTTCTTATTTATATTTCCATGTTCATGGGCATCAAAAGTGCACATACCTGCCTGGAAGAGTACATGGGAAGTGCTCTGATCTTCTGCAAAATGCAGAATTTTTGGCCAAATCCTGTTGCGTGATTAAAAATCTGCTGTGTGAACTTCAGCTGTACACACTGGCAGATCTTCAAACCAACTTTCTTACAACAAAAGAATCTATTTAGAACATTGGATGATGCCATCAGTGACCTGACAAATGTCGTTCAAAATGTTGTTTGATTTTAACTAGGGATGCACCGATACTAGTATTTGGGTGAGTACTCGCATTTGCCCAAATGTTCCCAATGCCTATCCCGGAACTTACTGTATCAGGAAGCCGTACAGCAGTCATTACACGCCGCCCGGCTTCCCGATTGGCCAGCTCCATGCTACCTCGTCACCTGGTGATGAGGGAGCATGGAGACGGCTTCTCGGTTAATCCGGAAGCCTGGTGGCGAGTCATTACATGCCGCCCGCCTTCCTTAAAAGGGACGTCCGTTATTGGTATTCGGTATCAGCGAGTGTTAAAAAAAAAAAAAAGTAAATCGGTACTCTTACTCGATACCGGAAAACCGGTATTGGTGCATCCCTAGTTTTATCTTTCAATTTTGGAATCGAAAGCAGTTTCCGGACGTAAATCATGTCCTCGGTTAGAATTTTGTCAGAAAAGTTTTCCATCCCGCTCCTTCGATTCAATTTTATTCATCACTACGGTCGAAAATGATCATCAATTTGACCCCATTAACTATTAGAAAATAGAATAAGCGTCCTGAAAATAATTTCTTTGAACTAACTTCTACTGGGGTATGGCCAGCTTTAACCTATATCAGGGGTAGGAAAACTCCGGACCTCCAGCTGTTGCGAAGCTATGAATCCCATGAGGTATTGCAAGACAGCCACAGGCATGACTCCAAAAAGGTACTTCCCTCCTCTAAATGCTAAGGACCTGTAGATGGTCATGGCTCCCAGTTCTCCAGGTGTTGCACATGCATGTGTCAGTTCTGGAACAAAATGATTCTGAAATGATTCTGCACTGGTGATTCTGCACAAGGGCAGGTTCACACCATTTTCCAGACCATATCCGGAATGCAGTGCATTGCGGTTTGCCGCATTTTACCACGATTTTGCCGCATTCCGGATTTTTTTTTGCTGTTGCTTAAACTGGGCATCCAGGTGACTTCCGGTGCGTTTTTGATGCGTTCCAGGGCATTCCAGACCAGACAAAATGAGACATGCAGTATTTTTCTGGTCTGGAACGGACTGCGCTGGTGTGAACAGAGGCCAGAAATAGCATAGGGATACATTAGGAAGCATTTTGGGTCCGGAGATGATCTGGATGTGCTGTGAAAGGGCCCTAAAACTCTTTGCAATGGAGAGAATTAAAAGACAGCTAAACCCAAAAACATGCATTCAATATATTGCAGTCATCACATCTAAGGACTGGTAAGCTGGACAAATCCCAGGAGCCAGGTAGCCAATGCCTAAAAATTACAGCTGAAGTGTACCTTAAGTTTTCTCTGGTTGTTATCAAGGGAGCTGACTTCTAAAAACGATTTCCCTGGGTTCTAGATTGGACACAGTGGCTCCTGCATTCCATATGAAGTCGTCC